TTGAAGTTATTGGTACCAGATCTCGATAAACAGAAAACAGAAATCTAGAACAAGAACTTATTGGAAATCCTTCTCCAATTAATTGAAAAACTTTGAATACATAAAATACAGAGAAACTATCCCTATTTATAGATGAGTTAACCTTGTCCACCAAGTTAAATCATCAGCCTTGCTCTCCAAGCATAACATCTCCTACTCCTACAAGCTATGATAATCTCAAATCCATGTGAGATATATCTCCTAAAATTATGACTGACTCTACCCTAATTATTAACAAATAAAGACTTCAACATAATTACAAAATAAACCCCCTAACTATTACTGAATGTCAAGATTGGTCCAACAGTTTTGACGTCAGGCTTGGTGAAGAAATGAGCCCCAAGTAGTTTTTCAAGTAAGTTATCAACTATCAAAATGGGAAAATTATCTTTATCCATTTAGGCATAAATGTTACAATAATTCACACAAAAACATCATATCATGACTGATTTCTTAACTAAAACACCGACAAGGAGAAAAGTGAATGACTCGGGAGGTAATGACATGGGTTCACAATTCCACACACTACGAAGTGAGATATGACTACAAAAGAAGTTATATGGGACACAATTGGAGTGGTCTCCATGGTGGACATGATGATGAAGGCGAGGTTGCAGTGGTTTGATGTCACTATAAATCCTCCATGACCTCCAAAAAACAAGTGTTTGCGTTAGTGATCTATATCCCATTGTTTGACACAAATAAAACATAACGTCTTTGCCTAATATAGTGTAGCATCAGCGCAAGATTGAAACTCTGGAAATGGTCCATGAGAAACCCAATCCAAAGACATCTCTCTGGTTCACCCACAATTGGACCTTGCCAAGCACGTGAAAGGTTACCAATAAAAAATGTGTCGTGTATAAAGTCAAAGTGATGATGTGGGAGGAAAAGAAAAACCAGCATGTTGCATGCAAAGAGAGATTGCTCTTTTTGAATAATGCAAAGGTTGTGATGATCCATTATGTAGTGAGGTTGGGTAGTGAGACCTTCCATTTGATTCCATTCTGAGCCATCATCCCTGGGTCTTGTGACGACTGACGATCGGAGAAGAGAACTAGAAGCAAAAATTGCATGCTGCTTGCCTAGGGCTGAGGTTTACATTTTCTTCTTCTGACGAGCTTTCTTTATTGACAATTTTTTAATAAAAAAGGTGTACACCATTCTATGCCTCAAGGCTCCGCCCAAGGCGTACACAAATGCAATAGACGATAGCAACACAGTCTGTAGCCCTAGCACCAAGCCTTAGGGCTTCCACCTCGGAAAAACACACAAAGGCACGTGATGCCACTATGGCATGAGACGCAAATCGCAATGCCTTTTCAAACCTTGCATGGATGACAGCGAAACTATTAAAAATGGGGATGACTAGTTATTATATGATGCCAACAATGAACCTCGTCATCACAACTCTGAACCAGTATCTTCTGTAGAGCACGCATCCTCAAAACCAAAATCCGAAAGCTTCACAAATGATGATGACCAAGGGAAAGAAAAACCATAAGCTGATTTTTATATACTGAAAGTCGGTCTGATATCTATAAAAATTGCAACATCTTGATTGCTGTGTTAGCTGTTTTTATGTCGTCATGGAACAAGAACGACATGCATGAGTATAGTACTAGGATGTATCCAAAAATTTATTACACACAGTATATTTAATATAGGCTTACTGGTGCAGGCCTTATTAAACACCATTCAATAACCTTTGGAATAAACATATTCTGAAGCCCATAATTATTTTATTGATTAAGCAACAAATATTTGTAGGTAAGAAACATATCCCAAACAAGTTTAGAAACAAAACCAATCCAACATTGGACTGTATAATCCTATTAGTTATACATGCTATTTGCATACCACAAAGTATAATGAAACAAAGGCCCTAAACCTACAATAAGAAAATGAAGTCAACTTGATTGAGACCCATGAATCAAAAGATCCTTCACCTTCATATTATCCCTCAATTACATAGATCTCGATCTCTCATTAGCTATGTAATATGTATAAATTAAATTCAAAATATAAATGTCTTAAAACCCTACAAAGAAGGAATGTCAATTGTCAAGTCAAAGACCAATATGCACCAAGAACACACGGTCTAGCATATGCCAGTTCGCAAGTTTGAATAAGAACACCAAGTGAAAATATTTAAATTACTTATAAAACTTAACAGCAAACTTTCTTAAATAATCAAGAAAACATTTGGCTTAGTTTCTTTCAATAGATTTTGCAATTCCAATTTTAAGAATCAACTAGAACCTGTTTGCATTGTTTTTGTTTAGTACTCTAGGTAGAATCCGTTATTGATTTTGCTCACAAAGATCGGATTTTCAGTGGTAATCAATTGTTTGATTCTTTACAATTATCTAGATTTTAAATAATTGATTTCAAATGATCTTGAGGATCAGAATTAGAGAAATAAAGAATGCAAACCAAAAGAGCCCTTGATAGTATTAAGATGTAATTTATGAATATCTGATGAGCATTGTACAATGTTTGTTAAAATGTAATTCCAATAAATAATAAATTCAAGAAACATAGTCCAATCAACAAAGAACTACTTGTGCGTTCACACTGCATCATCATCATCATCATCATCAATATACCCATAATTCCAACTATGAGGGGCAGAGGGGGTCGATGTTACTTTGGGCTACTAAGAAGATATGAATCGTGAAGAAGTTAGTGCCCGTTTTTGTGAGTTTTGGAGGGTTTTATAGGTTCTAAATTCAGGAGGAAATGATATGGGTTCTAATATCTGAAATTAAAGTTTTTGGAGATATCTAAAATGATGGTTGTTAAAGTTTTTCAAAAATTGGCATCCTCCACTACAAAAGCATGACTTACACCCCTCAACAGAATGAAGTGATGGAAAGGAAAGTTAGGAAACACAGACATTTACTTGAAACAGCTAGAGCCTTAAGATAGATTGCATACTTGCAACCACATACCTTATAAAAAAGATGCCAATGGAAAAATTATCTAGGAAAACTCCCTATGAAGCCTTATTTGGTTCCCCACCCAATTATGAGCATTTGAAAACCATTGGTTGCTTGTGTTGTGCCAAGGTGGCACTGTGGCAGGCAAACTATATGATGAATTTGCACCAAAAGGAAGGCGGCGCATTTTCCTAGGTTATCCCAAATTCCCAATGTTCAAAAAGGGTACAAGCTCTTTATTTAGATACTTAATAACATCTCTCAGTAGGGATGTGATCTTCCATGAATACATATTCCCTTACAAAACCATTTCCTCTTCCTCTCCAACCACTCCAAATTTTTTCTATCCTACCCAATTTTCGGTTATAGATGATATATCCTCCCATTACCCACCATCTGCTCACCCACCTGCGTCTCTTCCTATCACTGATACTGCCCTTCCAAATCCTGTGGTTTCTCCCATATCGATATCCTCTCCACCACCACCTTCCCAAACTTCCTCTGTTCCACTACCTTTTAGACCACGCAAATACATTACTATCCCAGCAAAGTTTTTAAATTATGTGTCCCACTTTTCGTTCCAAAGTCCAAACTAATTGTTCCACATCCCATCATTTGTTTTCTGTCTACACTTTTTCTCCTTTACCCACTGGTTTCTCTAGTTTCATTGCTAATGTTTTAACTATCCACACACCTGCCATGTATTCTCAAGCTAAACAGGACCCATGTTGGGTCAGTGCCATGAATCAAGAGCTTGCTGCTCTTGATACTAATTGCACGGTTTGCACCTGGATGCTCACTCATTTACCACAAGGTCACAAGGCTATTGGTTCCCAAATGGGTCTATAAGGTGAAATACAACCCAAATGGGACTGCTGAATGCTTGAAGGCTTGATTAGTCATCAAAGGTTTTAATAAAAAACTTGGTAAATGGTAAACATTACAAACATACTTTTCCTGCTGTTGCAAAATTACCTACTGTCAGGGTAGTTATCGCTTTGGCAGCTGCTCACAATGGGCCATTGTTCCAATTGGATGTAAACAATGTTTTCCTTCATGGCCATGTTGATGAGGAATAGTTACATGATCCCTCCAGAAGGATACGCTAAATCTTTACGGGGTCAAGTATGCAAGTTGTAGTGTTCCCTCTATGGCCTTAAACAAGCTTCTCGCCAATGGAATCTGGAGGTTAGCTCCTTCCTTATCAGTCTTGACTATATTCAATCTAAACATGATTATTCTATGTTTGTTAAGCACGACACTCAAACTGTCACTCTTGCATTAGTCTATGTTGATGAGATGCTGCTAACAGGATATTCACCTGCTGTGATCTCTGCAACAAAATCTGTTTTACCTACCAAGTTCACCATCAAGGATCTTGGAAAAGCTAAGTATTTCTTGGGCAGGGAAATTTGCAAGACCGAGGATGGGCTCCCCTTAAATCAACGCATGTATATCAAGATCAATTTATTGGAAGGAGTAATGGAATGAGTCAACTTAATATTAACGTGGGCTTGGACTACTAAAAGACACTAGTTGACCAGCTACGTTTGGCCTCTAAGAAGAAATGAGTTGGGAAGAAGTTAAAAGATATTGATACAGAGTAGTCTAAGAAGGGTGTGGATTGTGTGTAATGTCTCTCTCGCTCTCTCGGGATATCTTATCCTTCCAATTGCTGTCAATTTTATTACTCCGTAATCTGTATATCCTTGCAGTATTTCTGATCATTTTTGTTAGACTCCTACTCTCCTAGTTTATTTCCATTCCAAGAATTCTCAAGTTCATTTGCCATTCTTAGTTTCATTTCATTCGATACATTCAAGGTCATAGCAAAGGATCCACTCATATAGTAGGTAGAGCTAGCTAGCAGGTATTAATCAAACAATTATCAAATCCGATCAAGAGAAGATTAAAAAAGGACTTACAATTCCCTTGCTCTCATAGTAATCATCCAGGGCCCATTGATACTTTGATTGATTCAACCCAAACCAATATGCTACGTTCTCATCCAGACTTGCATGGGCTAAAAGTTTAGACCCATCACCAAATCAATTAAGATTTCTCAAATTCAAAACGATGAAAATATATTAACACTATGTTTGGTTCAAGGAATTTGGTAGGAAAAGAAAACAAAATGGTTTTCCCTCATTTTCCTCACCAAAATGAGAGGAATTTGGTTTTCCTTTCTCTTAGTACATTTTGCCTTCTCTTTTTCTTTTCCTTCCACTTTTCTTTATTTTCCTCTCTAACCAAACAAGAAAAATATTTTCCTTCTCATTTTCCTTTCTTTTCCCTTTCAAATTCCTTGAACCAAACGTAGTGTAAAGGTAAAGCAATGCTAAATGACACCGACTCCCCGGCGATATAAAATTATTTAGGCATGGAAATCATCCAATCATAGCTAAAGAAATCACCGTAAATAGATGTAAAACATAAAGAAAGTACCAAAATAGGAGTTCCATGTTTTTATTTCCTAGATAGGAGTTCGCACTCCATCTAATGTGACACTGTACATGGGCATTTTACTATACTTTTTGATAATGTACATGGTCATGATTAGTAACGTAAAATTATAAAAATATGAAACTCTTATTTTGGTATATTTTTAATGCTCCTACTTTAGTCTTTTCCCTAATCGCTTTCGTGTTTTTTAATTAAATACGGAGTAGTATAATGATTTGTTTTAATTTAATATAGTACTCTCTTTTATGGATTAAAAAAAATCACAGAGAGAGCAATTATGAGTATGACGGTAACAAAAACAACAAGAAGAAGAAGAATCAAGTAAATGACAACAATAAACAGTAGATCCAAGGAACCGAACCGTTTTGGACTTTAGCTACAGCATCCCAAAAAACTCCAAAACTCGAGCCGGTTTTAGTCTGGTATTTATCATATTGTTTGGGGGGAACCATGACCGGAGGTGGATTCCTGACCGCCGTCTCCGGCGGCGGGATTTGCACAGGAGGCACCTCCAAAGGCTTGGAAGGCGCGTGAGGTGAAGGAGTTGATGGAGGGGTTATGAAGACTGTGTAGGGGCCGATCTTTCCGATCCTCGGAGGATGATGCGTGGAATTGGAGTTGCTCGGCATGGTAATGGAAGGGAAGACACGAGAGAATGTTGGCCGCAGAGATGTGAAAAGTACTTTGGTCTGACTCTGAGTAGTACTTTCAGTGACTGAGTTGCTCTCTGCTCTGGTCATTCTGAAAGTCCCTTTGAGTTTGTTTACTTTGACTTGGTCGGGTCATTCTTTTGCCCAATATTTTGTTTATTTTAGTTATTACAAAATTTTTAAACATGTGTCCATTAATTAGGATATATACTAGTACTCCGTATATAAAAAAGAAGCATACGTACAAAATCTAAAGCAACGATTTTAGAGTTTAATTACATATGATTTCTAGAAAACCTTCAAAAGATATTTTTGGTTTTGATAGATGTATGTTAAATTACTAAAATAAAACAATAATGTAAAAATATGCACCTTTTTTATGTGCTTTTTTGTTGAAGTTTATCATTTCTCATTTCTCTTGCATTTCTAGTTGATCTCGTCTATCTCTCGTTAAGTTAATTTTCCATGTTTTTAAATGTTATAGAAAAATTGGATGCTCCTACCAACTATACTAAAAAAGAAGATAAAGTTTGAATACTTATTCTATTTTTTAATCACAACATTAATATGTATTTAAACTTGAGTGATCGTGATAGATAAAATGACACATTTCTTCAATTATATCTAAACATTTTGTAATTAAGGATATCAATTATTTTTATTAATATTACTCTAAAATTGAGTGATTTAAGTAACAAATCTAAAAAGAAAGATAGTTATATTGTAAATTACCGATTTTTATTGCCGTAAATTTCTTGATACGTCTCTTTTCTTTTCTCGATACGAAAAATAAATTTTCGATCATCGTTGATTTTAATCATCCTGTGTGTCATTTATCAAAACCAAAAAAATCCAGAATATCTAAAAGAGGTTTGAACTTATACCCTACAGTTGAAATTAGACCACAAAAACACGAGTGGGACGTGTCACTTTCTTGGTAGTTTGTTAGTCTCATGGTTTAGTAAGAAGCAAGTCAGTGTTGCGTTATCCACAACCGAAGCGGAATACATTGCCGTTAGGAGTTGTTGTGCTCAAATCCTTTGGATGAAGCAACAACTTGTGGATTATGGCCTTAGTATCGGTCATGTCCCTCTTCGATGCGATAATACTAGCGCCATAAGCTTGACGAAGAATCTCGTACTTCATTCAAGAACGAAACACATTGACATTAGGCATCATTTCATAATAGATCATATTCTCAAAGGTGATGTCGAAATTGAGTTTGTGGAAACGAAGTATCTATTAGCCGACTTTTTCACAAAACCTTTAGAGAATGAGTCATTTTTCCGCATTCGTAGCGAACTCGGAAAACTTGATTCCACAACGATCTAAGTTGAGCATTAATATTTTATTGATTTCTCACTAACTTGAGTGTCAGAGACGTTTTGAATTTTTTTGCAGGACTCTTTTAGGCGTAAAATGCTGTTAAAGTAAGGGGGAATGTGAACAATCGGTTATCAACATATCATAATCGACTATCTAGACTTGCAGGAGTTAGATTCGGTCAATAGGAAAAGCAAATATTCGATTATCAGAATTTAGATAATCGACTAACAGAGGGAGCAGGACTTTTCAGTTTTCAGGAAGAAAAGACAGATAATCAATTGTCAACATGTGATAATCGACTATCTAAGGCTGCAGGTCTTTCAGCAGAAAGGCTGATAATCGATTATCAATAACGACAATCGACTATCAAGTTTTTGCATTTTCTTGCATTCTTCTCCTATTTCTCTTCAAATGACAGGGGGAAACAAGAAGCGTGCTTGCATCGGAAAGGATGTTGCCTCCTCCTCTGCTCCTCCACAACATACTACCCACAAATACCTTGATGGGTCCTTCTTGTGGTTCAACAACCGAGTGGAGGCAACTCGGTTCGCTGAGAAGCTCAAACATCGGGAGATTCTTCCTCCACGCTTCTCCACTACTTGTTTTCTTCAAGGGAGTGTCCCTCGAGATGCTCGGGATATTCTCTGGCGGGGGAGTTTTCTTGAACTCCTCTACATCAAGAAGACGCACTACTAACCTTTTCTCGTTTGAGCTTTCTACTCAAAATTGAAGAAGGATGAGGATGGGGCACTTCTCTCCAATGTCAACGGAGCCGACATCTATTTGAGTGAGGAAAACATGAAAATCCTGACTGGGCTACGACGTGATGGCGAAGATCTCGACCACTACGTTGGAGAAGAAGGGGCTCGTTGTAACGCCCCAAAATATACCCTAGAATTATTAATGGATAATTATTCAATTAAACAAATTTGTTTGATTAAAATAAATTGTTTTTGGGCTTTGGGCCGACATGAAATATGTTTTAATACCCAATATCAAAATAAGTCTCATATGTTGACTTATTGTGTGACCTAAATTGGGAACCTGAGTACGGACCCAAATCAAGGATAAATGAAGAAATCTGTTTATGATATGAACTTTGAAATGATTTATTAAAATAAATCATGAGAATAAATAATATGAATGGAATGTAAGAACCTTTTTGAGTAAAGGTCAAATAAATCAATTTTGACTCTTTCAAAGTCAACCACCCAAAAATATGATGTCAGAAAAAGTATTACAAATAAATATGAAAATTATATCGTTCGATAGAGTTTAATTGTACGATCACAATGGTGCAAATGGATTTCAATTTGGAGAAAGTTGGACCAAAAAGTGTTCCCCGACTAGGACCAAATTAGTCCCAATCAGGGACTTGCGTTTGAAATGGGAAGAAATCACAGCCCGCTCCACCCAGCCGCCGAAACAGTCGAAGGAGAGCTCATCACCGTGTCTTCTTCCTCCTTCACTTGGCTATATAAGGGTCATCTCCATTCCTTCAATTCCTCACCATTTCTTACAAACTTTCTGTCTATTCTGTTGCTAGAGTGAGGAGAACGCAGTGGTGCTGTCATATTGGTGTGAGGTCGCCGGAGATAGCCACAATCCTTGTCGGAAGTTTCGCCAGAAAATTTCCAAAAACCTTCATTTACCTTCGAGGTAATCCCGTAGATATATCTAGTGACTAGAATGTTCGTATAGATCGTTTTTACGTTCATAAACGGTCGTTTGGTTGAGTTTTGTGTTTGACGTGCTTGAAGAACCAAGAATCATAAACCATGAAATTGATGTTAAAACTATGAATTAATGATGCCAAAATGATCTATGAACCTTGGAGAACATCTCTATATAGTTTCGTTGAAGTTCGATAACTAAAAACGATATTTCCGAAATTGGACCCGAACGAAGAAGAAGATGAACAGTGGCTGAAACACCATTGTCTAGATCGATCCAGGGGCTTAGATCGATCCCCTGGGAGTGATTTTTCATAGTATGGATCGATCCAGAAGGCTGGGTCAATCCCCCGAATTTCTGATCCGAAAATTTGTCTGAAAATGTTATTTTTGAGCTCTAAAATCCTATTTTTGATACCAATTAATTATGATCATTATAAAAATGATTTTTCACATTAAAAGTAATATTTTTAACAAATAAAATGTTATGTGATGCATGACGGTAAGTTAGGGTGTTAACACCCGAAGCTAGGCCGCTAATTGTTATTGAATATTATGTTGATTGATGATTATGGTAATGATTATTGATTGATGATTATGATGATTAAATCTTAATAAATATTCTGATTAAAAATGATAATTGTGAATGATTAAATCACAATGAATATATTGATGATTGTGAAAATAATATATTGTTAAGAGTATCTAGAAGACCTCTAAGATATACCCATATTAATGTTGATTTGAAAGGTATCTAGAAGACCTCTAAGATATACCTATTTAAGTTAGGCCTTGCGGGTATGAACCCCGGTGGCTAGGGTTAAAACGTATGTACGGGATCCAAGAACCAAACTTGAGTACCTACTCGTTTGGGGGTACCACCCACCCAACAGTGAACACTACGCTGTCGGTTTCTGGTTGGCCTTAAGTGAAGGTAAGTTTAAGATTTTCAAAACCCTTTTATCTTAAACTAGGCCTAGCTTAAGGATTATTTAGGAGTACTTTATACTGGAATATAATTTAATTATTTAAACTAGAATTAATTTAAGGGTTGATAAACATTAAAATGATTGGCCTTAGACTAAGAATAGTTTAAGGATATTGTCGACTCTTGAATATGAATGAATATTAAATGATGATTATTGAATTGAATATTGTGATTATTATGAATGACAGATGACCATTGAATATGAATGACTATTGAATGATGATTATCGAATTGAATATTTTGAATATTATGAATAACCGATGAACGTCGAATATGAATATAAATGTTGAATAATGAATGATGAATACTGACTAATGATTATTAACTATCTGAACTGAACATTATGTGCATGATATCAAATGATTTGATTATGAATTTAGATTCAGTTTATATGGATGTTCGACGCATTAGATATGCTTACTCAGCTTCAACGTTGAGCGTGTAGTAGTTTTATTTGCTACACGCAGGTTAATAGAAAGGATGAAGTGACGTGATCCTGGAGGCAGACGGAGGCGAGATTGTCGGAATGGATGTGATGGTTTTGAATTAAAGAACATAATAAATTATGTTGTAATTATGATTTGGTAAAGCTTCCGCAATATTGAAAACTCCGTACTGTTTATATTATGAAAAATATTATTATGATAAATAAAAGTGTTTGAAATGTTTTAAATTTTTACGATTACCAAGTTAATACTTTAGTCCGAAAGGGGCTGCAGACCTGGACGGATTAGGGTGTTACACTCGTTTCAACGAGGCTGCTCTATTAGAGGAGATCGCCATTGGGAATTTCATCCCTACACCCATGCAGCGCCATCCAACGATCACCTCCATGAATCCTGTGTATTGATTCATTTTTTATGTTCTGACACGGATTCTCAAGCCACAAAAATACAATCACACAACACTCACTCAAGAGGACACGAAGACGCTCTATGCGATCATTTACAACGCTAGCATCAATTGGTGTAAGTTTGTGATGACTCACATGTTTGGCACCATCACCAATGACAAGCCTCTCCCCTATGTTCTCCTTGTTATGGCCATCCTTGATGAGTACAACATCAAGACGGACGTTGCGCCAAAACATAAGGAAACCACACATTGAGAGATCAACGAGTTTTCTTTCCACTCAGGCATTGAAGATGTTCCTTTTCCTCCGTCATGTCCTCGCCAACAAGCTCCCGCACCTTCATCAAACCTTGAGTCTCTTTCGGAGCAAATGGCTGCCTTGATGTCCACTCTCACCCGGATTGATTCCAACGTCAATCGGATGGCTCAAAGTGTGGATACATTAAGCCGAGAGCTTCATGGGTATTTTGAATTCGTCAATTACCCCTACGCCCAACTCGTTCCTTACAAAAACCCTTCAAAATTTGGAGTTGAGGGCAATCAAGTGGGTTGAACGACACCGTCAATGATGAGGATTGTTGGGTTTGTGGAGGCTTGGGCTTGACTTTTGGCCCGGGCCATTTTACGAAACCCTAGATGCACTCTTCCTATATATATTGCATACTTGTACTTGTAATCGACACCACAAGTGAAATAAGAAAATCCTCCTGTTGCAGCCGTGGATTAGGGAAACCGAACCACGTTAAATTCTTGTGTGTCGTTTGTGTTCCGTTTCTCGCAGATTATTTGTGTGTGTTGTGTGTTTAATTCCCAACAAGTGGTATCAGAGCCTCGTTGTACAACACGAAAGCACAAATTGTGAGTTGTCACCTAGGTTTTGGGATCTGTGAACAGTCGCCGCTGTGAGGCCCGCGCCGGAGTGAGTCGCGCAGCAGGGGAGAGAGCCGCAGCCTTGGGGTTGCCTCGCTGCCGTCGTCGCGTAGCCTTGGTCTCCCGCCGACTGTCGCAGTCGCTGGGTAGGGCTTCGCGAGAAGCAGGCCGCGCCACCCAGATCTACGCTGCCTGTTCGAGAAGGGGGAGAGCTATGCAGGTGTTCGCCATCGTCTGCGAGCCGCCGCAGCATCCCTTCGTAGCGCCGCCGTCGTCGTCCAGTGAAGAACCGAACCCATCGTCAATCCGCCGTCCGCGAGCAGTCAGGCCGCGTTGAGGAGCCGCCGCCGCGTGGAGGAGCAGCACAGCCAGAACCGCCGCTCCGTTTCGCTCGCCAAATCGCCGCCACCGTCCTGGTCGCCGCCGTGCAGATCCAGAGCCTCACCGCCTTCTAGTTCCGCTGCTGAAGTGCGTCGCCCTAGCGCAGTGGAGTTGGGCCGTTTGCTGGCTTGTAGCAGAATTGAAGAAAAAGGGGTTGATTGGCAGCAAAAGGTGATCCGACCGAAGGAAGAAAAAAAAGGTGGGGTTTGGCAGAAAGTTTGGTCGGCCCATTTGTCCTTTGAATTAATTTTGTTGGCAGGTCTTCTTTGGTGTTTATTTTTGGTGGCTTGGGTTTGGCGTATTTTAATTTGGACTGATTTATTTGGAGAGTTGGGCCTGTTTTCCTAACGAAATTACCAAGATCTGAAATTAGTTGTACCGGGTATCTCGTTTGGTCGTGTGATATGGCAGATGACGGGAAGTTCCGAATTGAGAAGTTCGACGGTACAGATTTCAGTTGGTGGAAGATGCAAATTGAAGATTTGTTGGTTCAGAAAGATTTGGACGTGCTATTGGGTGACAAGCCAGAAAAGATGTCGGATGCAGATTGGGCAAGTTTGGATCGGAAAGCTATGTCCGTGATCCGTCTCTCGTTGACCAAGAATGTTGCGTTCCACATTCTGAAGGAGAAGACAGCGAAGGGATTATGGACACGCTATTTAACATGTACGAGAAGCCATCTGCAGCGAACAAAGTTTTTTTGATAAGAGAGCTGGTGAACACAAAAATGAAAGAAGGCACTTCAGTTACCGAGCATATCAACAAGTTGAATTCGATCTTAGCCATACTTTTGTCAGTGGGCATTAAGTTCGATGATGAAGTTCAAGCTTTGCTACTGCTATCGTCTTTACCTGATAGTTGGTCCGGAACGGTTACAGCAGTTACCGGTTCAGTGGGACCCGATGGATTCACCTTTGATCATATTCGAGATCTCGTTCTTAGCGAGGATGTCAGAAGAAAGAGTTCAGGGGAGTCATGTGGTGAATTGCTTCATGTTGGTAGAGGCAGAAGATATAGCAGAGGTAGTGGGAGCAGAAACAGAAAAAGGAGTCAGTCGAAGACTCGTGACAGCTCAGGTGTAACGTGCTGGAAGTGCAAGGAGGTAGGGCATTTTAGGAATCAATGTCCGAATGATAAGAAAGTAAACATTGCTCAAGGCTCTGCGAGTGACGAGGAGGTCGCTTTGACTTGCTGTGAGGAAAGCAATGTGGATTCCTGGGTCATGGATTCTGGTGCTTCATTTCATGCCACCCACAGCGGTGAAGCATTGCAGAATCTGGTTATTAGAGACTTTGGAAAGGTACGACTAGCAGACGACAGAGCTCTTGAGGTGACGGGCATGGGTGACATGGTGTTGAAGACCTCAGTCGGTCTCTGGACTTTGAAGAATGTCAGAGTGGTTCCAGCCGTGAAGAAAAGTTTGATTTCTGTCAGGCAGTTGGACGAACAGGGGCACGAGGTTAAGTTCAGAGATGGGCAGTGGAAGGTCGTGAAAGGAAATCTTGTCATGGCCCGCGGAAGGAAGAGTGGTTCGTTGTATTTGGTCGAGTTACCATCTGAGGGAGTGACCGCCCCAGTTCATAAGAGAAACAAAGTCCGGTTCACAGAGTCTCGTGGGCAGAATAATGTTGTCTATGCAAGAGAGAAACCTAGAGCCACAGGTCAGACTCGGGATGAACGAGCAAGGAATGGTTCAAGGACGCAAGTCAGAGGTATTTATGGCAGTGGGAGCTCAAGAGGCGCTTCAGCCAAGTTGCCTAGAAGACAGTGGGTCAGGAGAACTAGTATTCCAGCTGTTGGAACATCTCCAAAAATTTTCTTGCTGATTATGGAGAGTGTTTGTTCTCAGGATGTTCCAGGATCCGACAGTGTGCGTCTGCAGTGGGAGCCGGTAGGGACCGAGGACGAGTCAGTGGTAGATTTAGCCATGACTGATGTGTTGGAGCTTGGGAGAGCTTCAACGGGCCTTTCAGTTGTCTGATGATAGGGCCGCTGCAACAGGAGAGCTGAGGAAGATTACTTGATGTACAGGGAATCGTGGTGGATGGCAGTTGATGACTATCAAGCCTCCAAGTGGGAGAATGTTGGGTTTGTGGAGACTTGAGCTTGACTTTTTGCCCGACCTATTTTACGAAACCCTAGATGCACTCTTCATATATATATTGCATACGTGTACTTGTAATCGACACCACAAGTGAAATAAGAAAATCCTCCTGTTGCAGCCGTGGATTAGGGAAACCGAACCACGTTAAATTCTTGTGTGTCGTTTGTGTTCCGTTTCTCTCGTTTCTCGCAGATTATTTGTGTGTGTTATGTGTTTAATTCCCAACAAGAGGATGACGAAGAGGATGATGAAGACAAAGAGAGTGATGAAGATGAAGAGGACGAAGGCAACAACAATGGAGAAGAAGAACAAGAGGAAGCTCAGGATGATTCTTGCTCTAAGAACTTCTAGAGCTCTAGCTCATTTTCTTTTCTCTATTATCTTATGTTATGTTTTTTAATGCTTTCGTAGTGTACTTCGCATTTCCCTTCAATAAATGAAATCTTTATGTTTTAAAATCTTTTTGTTAATGACAAAAGGGGGAAGATAAGAGCTATGCATATATTAAGGGGGGAATTTTTTTCAAAAAGATAAAAAAACATATGCATATCCCCGTCTTGTTTGCCATTATCAAAAAGGGGGGAATTGTTGGAACACACTTTGCATTGCGTTGAACTAAAGTCCTGTTCATTTGTGATAGGTTTTAATAATTCCTAAACCGCCGTGGATATGAAGAGTTCCGTTGAATAACTCAATGCGTGAATTGAGGCATGGAACAAGACCATGAAAATCAAGTACAAGATCAAGATTTGAAGACTTAGTTGAGTCAGTCTTATTGTGATAAAAAATCGACAATCCAATCAAGTCTTGCTTCTCAAGAGTCAAAAATTTTTTATAAAATCATGAAACCTTTTTTTATGCATCAAATAAATTTTTTTCGTAAGTATTTCTAAGTTGCCAAAACACCTGGTCTTTGCCCAAACCAAAACCACTAACTTCGCCGTTCGGTGTTCAAGTTTTGGCGTCCGAACCAACCAAGTGCGTTTCAATATTTTATACTTGGTTTTTACTTCTGGGCATATTTAAAAGGTTACCAAACAATGATTTTATAAAAACCACTTGTGTATGACGGTCATTGGTCTAAACGCGTGAAAATTGCTCAAGTAGTCAACATGTGACTTACGACCTTGAAGACTTGGTTTTTTATAAACAAGCCTTGGTTTCTCTATTTTATACCATGCACAATAATTTTTAACATTTTTTTACTTTTGGGAACACTTTGTTTTTTGACCTTGGGTTTTCAAGTTCGTTTTTCACTGACTGGGTCTTTGCTGAGTGATAATCAATTATCACTTATGATAATCAATTATCACTTATGATAATCAATTATCACTTATGATAATCGATTATCTGCCTTGGAAGCTTCGAACACAAAGTTCGGAAGCGCCAGATAGTCGATTATCACCTTTTTGATAATCGATTATCATGGTTTCGCTGCCAAACCCAGAATTTTCTAAAAGGTCTGATAGTCGATTATCAGGACTTGATAATCGATTATCAAGTGCTACTGTTGCCCTCCAACGGATAGAATTTTAAATTTTTGGACAAAGAATCTTTTGATAATCGATTATCATGTTAAGATAATCGCCTATCGCACTGTGTTTTCAAAATATTTATCCTGATCCTGTTGAGAGTTCATGCAATGGTTACACCTCCTTTTAGCCTATGAAATGGCACCAAAAACCTCTCATTTTAAACACAATTCTTCAACTATCAATACTCATTCATTGCATTCATATCTTTCATATTTCATAGCTTTTTGAGAACTGATTCTTGAAGACATTGTTGTGTTCTTGAGCATTCATTTGTTTCCTCATATCTACTCTATAATAGAGTCTTGTTCTTGAGTGCTTAAGTGTTTTTATACACTTGAAGGGAGGTTTGTTCCCTTGTTGTAGTTCGAAGGAAGTTTTCGTTCCTTTGTATGAAGTCTTGGAGTGCAATATCTCCGAGCAAGTGGCATTGAGGCTCGTGTGACTCGAGTTCTCAAGTTGTATCAGTTTGTTGAGCACCTTTAAGCTTAACGGAGATAGTAGGACTTTTGAGAGAGTCTCTCGAGAGACTGGATTAGCCACAAGTTGTGGTGAACCAGTATAAAACAAGGTGTGCTCCTTCCGTATGCTCTTTATTTCTTTCACATCGTTTCAAATTCCTACAATTTTTTTAAAATGATATTCACCCCCCCCTCTAGTGTTGGGCCTTTATTCTAAACAAAATTGTTACGGTGATGTTTTCCACAAATCTTAATGTGCTATTTTTAGTAGTAACTTAAGGTTTGGTCTTTGGGTTGCTAAGGGTAGTATGGTTTAGAGTTAGGGTTGGTCTTAAAATGAGCTAATATGAATGGGAAAATAGGGAAAAATCGTTGGTGGACCTTTTCTTCAGCCTAACCATGAGTTTAGTTAGCAGTTTAATTTTAGAACAAGACATAATTAATTAGTTAAACAGACTTGTTCAGTTTTTTTCTACTAAAAAATATACGTATTTTCAAAATTATTTATTACTATGTTTAATAAAGTTTAGATGTGTTTGGGACAATGTACTAGCGAAGTCATTTAGAGTTGTTCGGGATAAACTTATGGAAGAAGGCGATGTGTCTTTCGCTTGGAGGCTAATAGGCACTAGAAAATCATATCCACAAAGATATAATCTACCATCGGTTGAAGAACTTCCTTCACTAGTAGTAGGTGATTTGGATCAAAATCAGGGAGAAAGGGACATTATGGTTAAAATGCGTGAAGATAAATTATGGCGGATAAGTGAGCTCAATCCAGCATATTTTAAGATTACAATATCCACTTATATTTTCTTACGGTAGAGATGGCTACTATGAAGACATTCCTTTTGCAAATGTCAAGCAATATAACGTTAAAGGATGAAGGAGTGTTAGCATCAAAGAATTTCCTCCCATTACGATCGGTTTCATGAAAGGGAAGAAGAAAGCACTTTCATACTTCACTCACGCATACTTTTTCAAGAAATCTGTGTGGATGGATTTACAATGGTCGAATCATCTAGATTGTGTTACATTAGTACTCACTAGAAAAATTTATGGTGTGATATGTACAATCGCTTTTCAAATTCAGTGCTTAACGGTGATAATGATGCATCAACAAAGGGCCAGCTTATAATAGTCCCTCCTACCTTTATCGGCGGTGCGCGTTATATGATTCAAAATTATCAAGATGCAATGTCAATATGTAGATATATCGGCTATGCATATTTATTCTTAACTTTCACATAAAACTCAAAGTGGCCTAAAATTTTAAGATATGAACAAGGCAAGAATCTCAATGCTCAATATTGACTTGATATCGTTTGTAGGGTATTTCGCAATAAGTTGAATGGGTTGATGTATGGTATAAAGAAGAATGAGATATTTGGAATAATCTTTGCACAAAATTCAAATTCTAATATGTATTGTTGAATATAATAATAATATAATATACATTAAGCTTTTTATGCAATCTAACAATAGTATACTTTTTTGTGACGATTTATACCGTTGAATACCAGAAACATGGTTTACCGCATGCACATATTTTGCTCTTTTTGATTCAAGAAAATAAATTTCCCACATCTAAAGATATTGACTACATCATTTTAGCAGAGTTTCCTGATGAAGAAACTAATCTTGATTATGACATCAGAGTTCGAGATTTTATGCTTCATGTCATGTGTGGAAAATATGCACCGCTTGAGCTGTGTATGGAAGGTGGGAAATGTGAAAATACTTTCCAAAAGCTTTCAATGAGGAGAAAAATATTGACAATTAAGGGTATTTAAAATATAGAAGAAGGTTCGATGAGAGAACTGTGGTTAAAAATGGTGTACCTTTTGACAACCGTTATGTGGTACCAAATAATAGAAGTGGCATGATGCAATCAATCATGATCTATCAAGTACTAATTTAAGTGCATTGACAAGGGGCACGGTCATGTGACAGCAGGATTTTATGCCAATGTAGATGCTCTCTTAGATCTAGAAGCAAAGCCTACCAGTGAAATTAAAATGTAATATGATTGTCAATACATTTTTCTATTTGAGGCAACATGGAGAATATTTGGCTTTGCAATTCTGATAGGAAAAGTTTTTCCAATATATTTTTCAAGTTGTGTTTGTATTGTACATGAGAGTAATTATATAAAGTACACCACAAAAGCTATGCAAGGAAACCTACTGTAAACAAACTCTTACCATACATGATTATCATTAATTAGCAAATCAATAAGTTGATTCCTTCGATTGTGGTGTCGTGAGTTTCTCCAGACGTGCGCAAGGCGTGGTGCTCAATTATAGGAAATAATATTCTTCCATAATATTATTGTTTCCTTTTCCTAACACCCCCCCCCCCCCTCAAGTTGGAGCATGTAAGAGACAAATGCCCAACTTGGAAAGTAAAGCATCAAATTGTCCCTTTCCAAAGGCCTTTGTGAAAATGTGAGCACATTGATTCTGAGTAGTGACATGGGAAGTGCTAATTGAACCCCGTAACAATTCATCACGAACAAAATGACAATCAATCTTAATATGTTTAGTGCGCTCATGAAAAATGGGATTGGCGGCGATATGAAGAGTAGCAGTACTGTCACAAAAAATGGTCATCGGTGATGGGTGTGGGACCTTGAGAAAATGTAGTAGGCCGCGCAGCCATTTAAGCTCACACGTCAAGACGGCCATTGAACGATACTTGGCCTCAGCGGAAGATCTGGCAACAGTGGGTTGTTTCTTAGTCTTCCAAGAAACGGGAGAGACTCCAAACTGAACAAACTAACCGGTGAGAGAGTGACGTGTGAGAGGGCAAGCGGCCCAATCAGAATCACACCAGCCGGTTAAATGAAGGGAACTGCCCGTCCGTAATAGAATGCCATGACCTGGAGTGCCTTTGAGATAACAAACCACCCCTAGCACTGCGTTCCAATGATCAATTCGGGGTTCTTGTAAAAACTGAGCCAAAGTGTGTACGGCATAAGAAAGATTTGGGCGTGTAACAAACAAGTACACCAACCGACCTACTAGGCGACGATAGGCACCAGGATCAACGAGCAAAGCCCTGGATGCAAGAGCAAGTTTGTGATTTG